AAAAATAATAAAAAAAAAAAAAAAAAAAAAAAAAAAAAAAAAAAAAACAGAAAAGAAATCGTCGAACAAATTACAACCACGCACAAATAAAATTGTACTTAAATTGAGGATGAGGAAGATGAAAATGAAATCGAAACCAAAAAGATAGCAAACGAAAAATTCAAAAACGAGCGCTTGACATAAGTACATACATAACCTTTATCGGAACAACCAAAACAAATTTCATATTAAGTACCGTATCGTGTGCATTAAATATTAAAAATAAACATACAGTCGCAATAGAAACCGAAACACTTGTTTTCTTCTTCTTTGGTTGTTGGCATTGCCGCTTCGATCCAATTCGGCTCTCCAAAAATGTTGCAGCATTTTTTATGGCTTTGCGCGCCAATTCTTCTCATCACCGTGATCATTTCGTGTATTTTGTACGATGTATGTTGCTTACCGAGTGCCGCCACATAAATGAAGAAAATATTCAATGTGCCATACCGTTTCCATAGATTCTCCTCATACACCAACAACAAAAAAAATACTACACATTTTTCATGTATTCTCGCATTTCGTTTGGAAACCCCAGAAAATCCCATACGAAATGGGATATGATGATGATACACGACAGAAAAAAAAGAGATCTGTACAACAAAGAAAGTAATACACTGCCAAGCAGAAAGCAGAAACAACATCAAGGCAATATGCGTACTGATGCCGAAACACTGAATTGTCATAGTCACTTCTCTCATATAAATTAAGTGCACTTTAGAAGAAAATTTATGTTTGAAATTATATTTTCTATATATTTTATTTTTACGTGTAGTATGGTGTGTGTGTGGTGTTTTTTGTCCTCTTTTTCGCCTGGCTGCTTGGATTTGCTCTTATTTCGAATGTTGTGGATATGCTCCTGTTAGTATGGATTTTCGTGTTATGTCCCGATCTGTCTTCGCATTGAACTGTTGCGACAAACACACACACACACACGCCGACAACGCGTTCTGTAGTGTTATTCTTTTTCATTCAAATGAAAATAAACATGAATGTCGACGTTGATTGTTTTTTCTTGTCTTCCTCTCCTTCGCTTCCATCAGTTTGTTTGTCCCGTGTGTCTTTGAAGCCATAAGGAATGTATGTTCGTCTTCCAAATGAGATACATTTTGGGTATTCAAGAGCATCTTCTTGATGCCTTACCATTTCTCTCTCAGATTTTTTTTTCTTCCTTGGCAACGTTTCGCTTTCATCAAAGGATTCAATTATTGCGCACATTAAATCATTTTGTTTACTTGACGAACACGCGTCGTTTGTAACAACATCAACGTCATGCACTTATGATAAATAAATAGATAATCGAAAGACCGGAATACTCGGCATCTAAAAAAAGAGAAAACAACCAACACCAACCGAACACAGTAAATTATTTTGAAATTATTTTTAATATGAATTTCGTCGAAAAACGAAATTTTGGTTGAAAAAGAAAAAAAGGAAAAAATATGCTCGTGCTGCTCACCGAAATGATAATATTTGCTTGCCCAAATATTTATTTGATTGATTGGGCAGTGGGTCAAGTGTACAAACACTAGACCCGAAATAAATTTGTTTTTGCATTTTCTCCGTCTGAACCGCTTCAAACGAAATGAAATGAAATAAAGTCAACATCACAATTATTGCTCAACATCGTGCAATCTCACTGTCGCTCGCTCACCCACTCAGTCAAGCCGCTCACCCCCATCCACACTTTCAGCATTTCGTTGAAAGGAAAATTTAATATTTTCGGATACTTTTTCTCATTTGGACTTTTTATTTTTTGTTCGATGGTTTTGGCTCTTATCGTCGAAATGAAGTAACATTCCACGGAAATTAGAATCAATGCTCAAAAAGTTTACCAATGACTTAAAAGAGATTCTTTTGGCTTACCGATTCACCGAATATTTCGAATTCCAATTCAAATGAAAATCGCTATTTGCTGCAAACTCTTGATTTCTCGCTCTCCCGCGCTCTCTTTCTCTCCCACTCTTAACTTCTTCCCGAATTACATTTTAGCAGTGAAACATCCGAAACTCATCCCATTGATCGCAATTTTTTCATCAAGATTTTCGACGACTTAAGCTACAGTTTTTTTCTCATTTTATTGCTGCGGTTGAAGAAGCCATCGTTCGTCTTTCATTCGCTTTTGTTTTGGCTTGGGCGAAAGAAATAATCAATTTCCCTGGATGGAAAAATTCTTTTCCGATTTTCTTGTCTCAATCGGTCGTTCCAGCAACATTCAGACAATGCGTCTCGACCGATTTGGTGTATGTGTGCGTGGTTTTTTTCTCAATATATTCGTTCGTTTTTTTTTAAATAAAGATTTAGTTGCGCTTCGAATTACTTCCAAATTCACAAAGTATTGGAGTCAAAAAGAACAACATACATGCAATATATAATTGAAGGAAGGAAATGTCATTCTATTCAGTGAACTGAACTACGCGATTCGACAAAATCGCCGCATCGAAACAACATGAAGTGAAACTACGCTTCACTTTTTGACTTTTGGTTCAACGATGGCAATAATTTTAATAGCCTTGCCTTTTTATTTGTTTATACCAACTCTACTTGATTTTCATTTATTCGTATCAAAGTTCTTTTTCACTTTCTATCTCTCTACCTCCTCTTCTGCGTTATACGGCATTGTGTTGTTGTTTTATCGAATTCGTCGAAGGAGCTCGCTATTGAAACGACATTAATAGTTTTTATTGGTGAATTTGCTAACGTCAAAACTGAGACGACCAATTTCAATGTGCCAAAAATAGTTACGTACATAAGTACAGCTTCGTTTTTTTGTGTGTGTTCTTCGTTCATTCTTTCGCAATGCAGAAAATTAAAAAGCTGGAAATTATTTGACGTCGAACTAATTTAATGACAGATTATGGTCATTGGTCACATTTATGGTGTTTTTTTTTATATTCGTCTTTCTTTGTGTATACAAAACGAAAAGTTCTCTGCACTTGAGACGCGATGCTATTGAGCCGCATCGAACAGATTGCTGCGTTCCGGGTGATAAATGATTGTTAATAAATCAACAAACGAATGAACACAAATAAAACAAAATCCAACGACAAATTGAGTTTGCGACGTCTTCATTTTTTATATGCATTATGGTTGTGCTGGATTGATGTACTCCATCTCTTTCACCCTCTTAACAAGTTTAATGGTAAAATGGACAAATACCTACAAACATAATCATCACGCACACTCACACACACATCGAACAAAACCGAACATATCGTAATCATTAATAACGCAATAACGACACTAAAGTGTTTTTCGTTTTCGTCTTAATTTGACAAATAAGTTGAAATCTTTGTTTTTCTCATGAGCAAATAAGAAGAAGAAGAAAAAACGAACTGAAAAAAAACGTTATGCTCACTCACTTTGTTTGATATCGTTATCACAACGGGGAAAATATCACATTAATCGACAATTTTCTTGAGCTCCATTGAGTCAGCCACAGCATCCGTTTTATCAACAAC